TGTTGCTTTTGTGAGGATGTGTTTCTCCAGCCTTTCTCTAATGTTTAGTTTTATTACTCTAAAGTCTTACATTTTCTGCTCATTCCTCCATACCTGGTCCACCCTCTCTCCTCACCTGGTCCACCCTCTCTCCTCACCTGGTCCACCCTCTCTCCTCACCTGGTCCACGCTCTCTCCTCACCTGGTCCACCCTCTCTCCTCACCTGGTCCACCCTCTCTCCTCACCTGGTCCACGCTCTCTCCTCACCTGGTCCACCCTCTCTCCTCACCTGGTCCACGCTCTCTCCTCACTTGGTCCCCCCCCCCTCTCTCACCACCTGGTCCACGCTCTCACCACCTGCTTCCCTCCCTCGTGTGATCCTGGTGCTCATGGGTGTGGTTGTGTGGCCTCCACAGGGGGGAGAACGACCGAGAGACCCTGACGAAGGTACAGAAGGGAGAGTTGAACTTCGACATGGAAGCCTTCACCCACATCTCTGACGAAGCCAAGGACTTCATCGCCAAGCTCCTCGTCTTCAAGGTTAGTCACCTGTGTGTGTGGGGGTGGGTGTGTGTGGGGGTGGTGTATGTGGTGGGGGGGGGGATTTTGTGTGTGTGTGTGTTGTGTGTGGGGGGGGGGGGGGGGTTAAGTGTGTGTGTGTGTGTCGGTGTATAGCTCGTGCTCACCCACAGAGGGCACAACCCGTCCTCAGACCAAGTCCATTCCATCCAGTGGTCGACCCCAAAGACGCATTCATCCAGCCCGTCCTCCAAACAAAGATCCAAAAGTGATTCCATGCACCCGCCAAACCCCCTGTTTATGAATGAAAAGCGGTTTACACACGACTCACAACTGATTTCGTTCGAACACTTCCGGAACAAGTGCTTCACTGACGAATTTTGTTCGAACCACAACGCTATAAATGCTTCACCCACGTACTACAAATACAAATAATCGCCAACAGAACCTAAACACCTAACCTAACCTATCCTATGCCTATATATACACAATATGCTAATATATTATAATATTAATTTATACTTGAGAAAATTCCCGTTTTGAATAAACAGCATGTTAAAATTTATGAATGCGTGTGTGGGGTTGACCGCTGGATGTAATGGACTTGAGTCGAGGACGGGTTGATTCATCAGTGTTAACATGCTGTTCATTCTAAACAGGATTTTTCTCAAATATAAATTGCTATTGTTATATATTAACATATTGTCCATATTTAGGCATAGATTAAGTTAGGTGTTTAGGTTCTGTTGACGATTATTTGTATTTGTAGTACGAGGGTGAAGCATTTACAGCGTTGTGGTTCGAACAAAATTCGTCAGTGAAGCACTTGTTCCGGAAGTGTTCGGACGAGATCACTTGTGAGTCGTGTGTAAACCGTTTTCATTCATAATCAGCTGGGGTTTGGCGGGTGCATGGAATGGACTTTAGCCCTGGCTGACACCCGACTTCAGCCCGTCCTCGCATACAAAGATCCAAGCTCGTTAATCCAGCCACCAAACCCCCGATGACCTCTGTTCGAACCACAACGCTATAAAAGCTTCATCCTCCAAATACAAATAATTGCCAACAGAACCTAAACACCTCACCTAACCTGAGCCTAAATATACCCCAATATCCTAATATACAACAATATTAATTATTTGAAAAAAAATCCTATTTTGATTGAACAGTGTTGTATGTTAATTTAAAATAGATGAAAGCGTCATTAGGGGGAGTCGCTGGACGAACACCCCCTTTGGGGCGGGGGGGCGTCGGCCAGTGTGGGGGTGAGGGCGCTGTGTAAGTGTATGTGTGTGTGGGGGGGGGGTCAGTGTGAGTGTGTCCGCAAGTGTGTTTCGAGTGTCTGAGAGCTGTGTGGTTCTCGTGGCACTCTGGCACTTGTGTGAGTGGGGCTCCTCGCCTCACATAACCTTTTGGTGGCACCTAAGGGAGTGCCCGGAGTGCCCACGTAGCCTAATTTGGGGTGATCAGGCAGGCTGTTGGTGCTTGCTGCCCGCGTAGGCACCAGCTTCACCAGGTTTCCGCTCCTGAAGACAAATGTGTGTGCTGGTAATTCCCAGTAATATATATAACGAAACTGTTGCAATTACACTATTAATATACATATTACCTGCCATAGGCAGTATACCAAGGCTGAACAAAACACCTGTGTAGAGCTGTGAACAACACCTGAGTCGAAGACTTTCATGTATTAATTATATTACCTTCTCAATCTCGTCTCTCATCCACGCTTCGCTGCCTTCATAAAAAACTGTCTTATCACATAATCTTTTATCCCCCCCCCCCCCCGTGGGGAGTTGTTTTATTTACATAACGCCGGGAGGAGTGTCGGTAAGGTGTTTTGTTATGTACAACCCTCACGACAAAGAACCTTTTTGCAGGTGACAAGTGAGTGATTGGAAGAGAGAGGGGGGAGAGAGAGAGACAGAGAGGGGGAAGAGAGAGAGAGAGAGGGGGGAATAGAGAGAGAAAGATAGGGGGGAAGAGAGAGGAGAGAGAGAGAGAGAGAGAGGAGAGGGGAGCAGAGAGAGAGAGGAGAAGAGGGGAAAGAGAGAGAGAGAGAGAGAGAGGAAAGAGAGAGGAGAGAGAGAGAGAGAGAGAGGAGGGGAGAGGAAGGAGGAGGAGAGAGAGAGAAGAGAGAGAGAGAGAGAGGGGGGAGGGAGGAGAGAGCGAGAGAGAGAGGGGGGGGAAGAGAGGGGGGAGAGAGGAGAGAGAGAGAGAGGAGAGAGAGAGAGGAGAGAGAGAGAGAGGAAAGAGAGAGGAGAGAGAGAGAGAGAGAGAGAGAGCGAGAGGGGGGGGAGAGAGAGAGAGAGACGAGGGAGATGAGAGAGGAGGAAGAGGAGAGAGAGAGAGACGAGAGAGAGAGAGTGAGAGAGAGAGAGAGAGAGAGAGAGAGAGAGAGAGAGAGAGAGAGAGAGAGAGAGAGAGAGAGAGAGAGAGAGAGAGAGAGAGAGAGAGAGAGAGACGGGGGGGGGGGGGGAGGGTGGAGTGTGAATGGATACAAAGTGACAACAGAACCACAAGGTTGTAGCACAGTTGTATATATATAACACAACTCTGATCCCCAAAATGTCACAGCCAGGAATATTTACCTTTTGACGTGTGGACACGCGCACACATTCACCACTACCCAGCTTTAAGTTGACTGGGAGACCTCAGTCACTAGAGCCGACGTGTCCGCATACAATAATACGACCTTACGCCGCCTTAGAATATAAATTTTGGGTTATTTGCTGTCAAAAGTCACAAAAAAAATGCAATTTATATTCCACCTGCCACAGGCCGACATGAGGATGGATGTGAAGACAGCCTTGAAGCACCCGTGGATGGACCTGGCACTCAACATGCCTCGGGATCCCTACAAGATCAACACAGACAGACTACGATCCTACTATTCCAAGTTCAGGTCAGTGAGTGGAGTGTCGGGCTGCCTGTGTGGCCTGAGGCCCAGGGAGGTCCACTCAGTTGTACAGGCCAAGTTGAAGTCAGTAGTTGTCTGAGGCTGTAATCCGAAGTGGAGTCTAAGGGTCCGATTTCGACTCGGATACGAAATGTGTTGTTTCTGGGCGAGATTAGGCTAGTGGTTGAAATTGTATAACCCGCAATATAATGTCTTCTCGAAACCAGGGTTCGATCCCAGGTTAAAAAAATGATTTCCTGTGTAAGATTGGACTTCCTGCCTCACGTTCAGCTCACCTGCCGTCCAGCCAAGGCCACCAGCTAGACTTAAACACTAAACAATTTTCTTTAACAAACCTAATATTGATTAATGAGGATTGAGACGATCTGCTTCAACTCAGGGATTGGTACGGCAACGCCTCCTGCAAGCGCTGGTACCGCCGCAGGACCCTGGCCTCCTGCTTCACTCACCCCAGCAAGATGGTCTACCCGCCAGGAGAGGTCTACACGCCCCCGGAGTCCCCAGAGAGAGAGATCCTCCCCGCCAAGACCGAAGACTACGTCATCCCTCACAGAGACTACTCCTACGAGCTCGATGTTATCAAGAACGAGAGCAAGTGAGTATTTCTCTCGAGGGAGAGGGAGAGTATTGCTTTGAGAAGGGCAGGTTATCTTGAGATGATTTCGGGGCTTTTTAGTGTTTAGTGTCCCCGCTGCCCGGTCTTCGACCAGGCCTCCACCCCCAGGAAGCAGCCCGTGACAGCTGACTAACACCCAGGTACCTATTTTACTGCTAGGTATCAGGGGCATAGGGTGAAAGAAACTCTGCCCATTGTTTCTCGCCGGCGCCTGGGATCGAACCCAGGACCACAGGATCACAAGTCCAGCGTGCTGTCCGCTAGGCCGACCGGCTCCCTTCAGGGGGAGGCAGGGGAGAATTACTTTCAGGGGGAGTGTTAGAGTAGAGTGGTCAGCCGAGACCTGAGTTTCAGGGTTCGGGTGCAGTATATCGTTGTAGTAGACATTGTACAACAGGGAAGCCCGCCACACAGCCCTGTGGTACGCAGGCATTAATTGACTGATTTTCTTATTCTACTTAATTGAGAACTACTCTTTTGAGTTCGTCCCTGAAGGAAGTATCATATTAGCCATGAAATGGATCTTGAGATACCTATAGTGCTGTAATTATTGTTGGTAGTCAATGGCCACTATACCCGGTTAAAAGTAACCGCAATATGGAGTGCTATAATACAGATATTCTTTGAGCAATATAGTAAATGATAGCCTTTCCCCCCCCCTAACCTAAGATCACGGCTCGATATCTCCTATACCATTTGCAATACTCCACCACCACCACAACCCCTACCACCATCTCCACCACCACCTCTATCATCTCCACCACTACCAGCCCTACCACCACCACTACCACTACTACCATTACCAGTGTCTCCCCGCCAACAGCTACCAGCAGGGGCCTGACACTTACCTCCTGCAGCTCCGAGACACAGAGTTCCCATGTCGTCTTCGCTCCTACATGAAGGTGGCCACAGTCAGGTCCCCGTCCTTCGCTATGAGTCTTCGTGAGAACGACTACGACTACACCGTAAGACCAGACTCCTCCTCGACCAGTGTCGTGCTGGTTGGCGAGAATTGATTCTTTTGTTTTGTCTTAATTTTTTTATCCCATTAGTTTAGTTTTTAGTATTGCAATTTCTTCAGATACACTACCCCTCCTGGAGAGAATTTTTGTGGATTTTTTTTTTTATATATATATAATAGTGGGATTTTTTAATTGGGAATATGTGAAAGTCCCATTTGGGATTTTAAGATATTTTTAGAATTATTTTTTACATAGATTGATTCTAATTGGTAATATGCAAGTAATTTTTTTTTATATAATTTTTTGTGTATTTATTAATTTGGTGAAAGTTTCTAATAATTGTTCTCAACACCAACAACATCAAGTAGTTTATTTACGCTTTTAATTGCATTTGAAATGAATTTGTGGTTTTGTTCCCAGAAATCCCGCTGCATTTATGGAAGATCCAGCATCATATTACATTAATATTTTATGGATTTATGGATTTTTTACATGAACGTAAAAGGATTTTTCTCACACATTCTCTTGAGGATTTACAACTTTGTATACATTTTCCTCGGATTAGTTAACACTGACTTTTTTTTTTTTTACTATTTCACATCAAAACAATTCCTAAGTACTTATTTTAAATGTTTTTTATAAAATTATCAAATTTTAATATCCAACGGCAAGTTTGGGAATTTAATTTAATTAATATTTTTAAAACAAACTAAATTTTGGAAAGAAACTTTTTTGTTTGTCAGTTATTTAATTAATATTTTTTTAGGGGAAAGGGGGGGTGGGGATTTTTTTTTGTCATACCAGTGAATTGTTTGTATTTGTGCGCACAGAGAGAAATCGAGAGAGGATGATTTGAACAAACATAATTTAGAGGATAACTTATGTATTATAAACTAGAAAAAACGGTATGTTTATGTATTGCAATGGATGTGTATGTATGTAAATGTGCATATGTGTGTGTGTATGCCTGTATGTGTAATTATGTATTGCTGAGGAAAAACCTTTGAAAACTAAGCTATCATAGTAATATGCTTTTGAACATTCTGGTATGTGTGGATTAAAAGGAATTTTCTCTCAATAATAAATAAAGTAGTTTCAAGAACAAACATTTACGGAAATATTGTGTTTCAGAGAAATTTGCACCTAAAAATAATTCTGGCATTAATTCATGAACATTTCGACGTTCTCGCGTTCAAAGCTGCAACTGGCGGGTCATGTCGACATGTTTTGTGTGAAAAGAGGAAAATAAAAACACATATCAGGAAGTGACTGTATCAGACAGTTGCTTGAAACAACAAGTCCGGAGATTGTCCCTGAAAAGGAATATACACCAAGATCATTGCATGAAGCAGAGAGAGGGGGGGGGGGGGGTGAGGGATGGGCCACATCTCTGGGGGCAGGGCCACATCTCTGGGGGCAGGGCCACATCTCCGGGGGCAGGGCCACATCTCCGGGGGCAGGGCCACATCTCCGGGGGCAGGGCCACATCTCCGGGGGCAGGGCCACATCTCCGGGGGCAGGGCCACATCTCGGGGGCAGGGCCACATCTCGGGGGCAGGGCCACATCTCCGGGGGCAGGGCCACATCTCCGGGGGCAGGGCCACATCTCCGGGGGCAGGGCCACATCTCAGGGGGCAGGGCCACATCTCCGGGGGCAGGGCCACATCTCCGGGGGCAGGGCCACATCTCCGGGGGCAGGGCCACATCTCCGGGGGCAGGGCCACATCTCAGGGGGGAAGGGCCACACCTCGGCCAACATCTGCAGGCAGTACATCCTTTCTTCTTGCGCAACACCCTGAGATATTCGTTCATTCAATCTGGTTCTTCACCACAACCCTCTGTGTGCTGTTCCTTGGTCCTCCTCTTCCACCTCTCTCCGTCCCCCCCCCCCCCATCAACTCCCCCCTCTCTCTCGCCCACCCCCTTCCCTTGCCACCCCCTTCCCTTGCCCCCCTCCCTTCTTCCGTGAGCTCTTCTGACAGCCTTCTTGAATTGGTTGCCTTTAGTCACTGAAGACAGTGGTAAGTCTTCACAAAAAAAATTCTACCACAGACGTGGCCAGACATTTACAATGCTAACCAACATATATACATTTTCTTCTATCCTCTATGGGACAGGGTTAGAGATCTGTTAAACATATAGTTCAAGGATTTGTTGAACAATCAACCACAGAAGGTGACTGTAGTTCAGTGTTTGAATGTAAAATTGGTCGTGGAAGTCAACATTGTTTCCCTCATTGAGGGTAGTTTACTGGGCAATTGCTGCCCCCCCCCCCCACATCCCTTGGCAGAGATGATTTTGACACTACAGTGGACTACTTTATCTAATCCCATCCTTTGGTAGAATTCACAAAGGCAGGTGTCGCCTGCTGTACACACTACATGACATAAGGTTTTGTAGATTCGTCTGTGGACACTTGTACCCGCCTCTGTAACCTTTAGCCACGACACCTGTTGAGTCTCTTCAAGCAAACTTAGAGCAGATCATCAACAAAGTTTGAGTTTGGTCAACAAACTTAGAGCGGTGACCTTGGTGTCCGCGAGCTGGCGACCTGTGCTGCTGAGGAATTAATCTTTGGGATCATCTTGAGGTCAGCACGGGGGAGTCCGGGTTCCTCCTAGATCCTGAGACCATGGGATAGCCCAGGAACATGGGAGATTGCAGGCGATGAGTCACAATAACGAGGCTAAAGTATGTTGACCAGACCACTCACTAGAAGGTGAAGGGACGACGACGTTACGGTCCGTCCTGGACCATTCTCAAGTCGATTGTGAATGATCCAAGACGGACCGAAACGTCGTCGTCCCTTCACCTTCTAGTGTGTGGTCTGGTCAACATGGGAGATTGGTTCGAAAATGTACTAAACTAGGATAAGATCCAGTCGAGGACGATTCCCTATACGGCTTTAGAAGTACACATGATAAAGAGCTGCTCCGTCTGTTGACCGAAGGTTCAACATGAAAGACGGGGCCCAGGAGCCGAGGATTAACCCTCTCGCAGGCTGTTAGGTGAATACACGCACACATGCACCATCTTTGATGCCTTAGGGGGGCGGCTTTGGCTGCTACTGTTGCTTCAGCTTCGTAATTGGTTCTTTTATCCCTTGTTATCTCGTCTCCTCCTCCTTCCTTCCTCTTTTTTCTCCCCCCCCCCGTCTTCTTTTCTTTCATCTTCCTCCTCCCCACTCTACCCCACCTCATCATCTTCCTTCTCCTTCTACCCCTCTTCACCTACCTCCTCCACCCCCCCTCTACCTCTCCTCACTTCTCAACTTCCCCATCTATTTCTCCTCTCTCTCTCTCAACTTTCCTCATGTGAATACCCTCCCAGTGTTGAGACACACGGTAGACACACGATACATAATGTAGCACTGACTGCACCCTTGTACAGCATTTCTGTGCATTGTACACTTGTAAGCTCCATTTAGTGTTTTTCATAATGAATAAGCTAAACAACTTCTGTGGTTGCAAGTCTGTGGCTCTTGTATGGCCCGACACAGTAATGATCTGCCACAGCAATGATCTGCCACAGCAATGATCTGACACAGTAATGATCTGACACTGTCTATTCATAGTATAACAACTTCACCAGAGTAATATGTATTAATTGATCTAATGAGTATATTGTTAACTTTGTATATTCTCCCCCTGTTAATTCTGCCAGAAATGTTATTATTAACCGCTGTTACTGTTAATATGTAGCTTAAGTACACTATGTGGGTTCCAGCACTGTTCCACTGGCTTGCTGATGCTTTGGTAGTTGGGCCTCTTGTAAGTGAACGCGCCCGGAAAGTGAATTCTGATTGGGTGGCAAAGTCTCTGAAAATCAGCAACCCTCGCTGATAGGCTGATGACGAACCAATCACTGGCAAGAATTCACTCTTCGCGCGCTGTCTCCTCTTCAGAGTCTGAGATTAAGCGGGATTTTTAGTCCATTTTACGAAGTACCTTTTTAATTAGTAAATTTAATTATAAATATGTTGTAAAATTTAATTTAATTTGTTGTATTTGAGAAAAAAATCTTAATATCAGACTCTAATCCTATCCTTCCTCCAAGAATGATGATGAACTATCAATCCAACTTAAAATCCGTAAACAATTGTCTTATAAAATTTAAACAAAGTATTAACATATCGTTAGTAATAGCAATACTAATAAAAATAATAATTAATAATTTAATAATTAATAATAATTTAATTAATAATCTAATAATTAATAATCATTAATAATAAGAATGCGATTAAGAACGATAATGTAAATAGTCATTACCGTTCCTTCACAGACAAGGTCGGCCATAGATAATGTTGACCTCGCTGGGTTGTGAAGACACGACCAAACACGCCTTAAGATAGGACAGTCTCCCCTGTATAGCTTGGAGATCCCAATTGAGTTCATGACAAGCTGAAAGCGCCTTAAATCACAATGTTTTTTGTGTTTTAACAACTCGTCCTCAATTACATAATGCAAATATTGTAAAGTATTATCTCAGATGATGTTAGATATAACCCGTTGTCAATCTTCTGAGAATTGGTTACATAAACTTTTTGGGTTGAATTTTCATCGTGGATTCTATTGGTTATTATCTCTCGAGCCCAAACCCTTTCTAGTCATCCTATCTAAATACCTTTAAGTGTGTAGTTATATCTTGTGTTGGTATTCTGTACTTTCCTGTCACCTCTCCTGAAATATGACGTCTTACAAGACTGTTGTTTTCCGGTAAGATATTTTATTTTTGTCCTTGAGTGTTCTATATATAAAATATGTATATTTTATATATTACAAAATCTGTTCCTTTCTACTTGGTATATAATTATTTAATAAGCCTTCTATTTTTTCATTCCCTATATGGCTTGGCAGCCTTGTTAAACTGTTGTATAACTAGTCCAGTGTACTGTACCTTTGCCCTTGTGTTCGTTTTGCCCTTCCTTATGAGTCCGTTTAGTGATCCCTAACGTCACCTGATTACCTCGTCCGTGCCTGCTTGTTATGCTCATTGACCTGCTC